ATGCTGCATTGTAGTACTGTTGGTTAGTAGAACTAGCAACTAGACACACTCTCTCTCTCTCTCTCTCTCTCTCCTTTTTCGTGTTCTTCTCCAATACAAAGCGTGGATCACAAATCAAAAGGGAAGCGAAGTTGCATAGACCTTGGTATATAACATCAGGCATCACGAGCTTGGTATGTGTTCTATAGACCTTGATCTGTCAAGCATCGACCAAATCACTCGGACATACTCGTATGTGCAAGCCATCACTTCTCCATGGAGATCCAGTCCATGGTGGCGATCATGTGCTGCTCCAAATCACAGAAAGATGCAAAATAACACTGTTCGTGACCGATGCATACATTCATACCGTGAGAAAGAGCCATGTGAAGTTCGAACCCAAGAAGCCATGACTGCAGAAAACAAAGATCTTACTCTGCTATTCCATTGCATGATTGCCATTAGTTAAAGATCAGCAAAGTCCTCCATGTGACATGCTTGTGTCACCTCCAAAGATTCCCGGCAAGGAGATGGAGGATGAATTAGCTGAAGACATAATTAGCACTACAAGTTGGCCAAAGTTCTTGGCAATGAAGGAAGGCTGGTCTCTGGTGGCACCTGGTTGCATGTGGTGATCTAAAACTCGACGAAGGTACAAGTTGCTTTACTCCTACGGCATTCAAGATTGGGATGTGATTCATTGATTGTAACTTGTACCTGTGCTTGTAATTCAGAATGGTAACTTTGAGGAACCAACCCATCCATGGATTGTTCATGAACTCCCATCATTAAGCTATAATATTTGTTCAATAAATGAACTACCTGTATGGGATTTGCAGAAAACTGTCCAGGTTGACTATGGTAGGTATTAAGCTTGGCCAGGAAACAGATTGTTGCATGCAATCGCCTGTTTTGAACTGAAGCAGGACAAACCAATCTCGCTGCCTCAAGTTGACAGAAATGTCAGGGCTTCAACATGAAGATGGCATGCCACCACCAGTTTGTGACGCACTTTGTGCCATCTGCTTTGAGGATAGGAAAGGATAGTGTCGTTAACATGTCCAAATATGCTCCTAGTGTTAGTGCTCTCAAAGTGGCCCATGGATTATGGACTGGACAACTCACAGCAGCCTCGATAACTTTGTCTGATCCATAGGCTTGTTAGATATTGATCGCTCGGACAGGTGAGGTTGGAATAACGGTGTCTAATAAAGCTAAAAGTCAATAGGAATGAGTGCAAGGTTGTGACCCAACATTAGATTCAGTCAGGTAGGTATTTGCTAACCCTAGGCCACTCTGGAAGAACAAGTGCAATGGCGTTGCTGGTGTTCTCCTGTTGGTGTCAAGTTCTTGTTGGAGGGAAGGTGGTGCAGTATCTACGAGAAGGACAACTCATCACCTGCATACAGATGAATAGAAGTCATCATCATTCCATGGAAGGTAGGGAAGGGTAGTGGGGCAAAGGGGAGAGGCGGATCATGAAGGACTGCAAGTCTCCTTCCAATTTTCACTTGTGCTTTACTTCCTTGCAAAGGCTAGTGACCTTTGACAGTCCTTGGCACACATGAGAAATGGCTTCTTCCATTGTTGGTCTCTCCTATGTTCATCTGCACATCCTTCTCCAACATGATTCCATTCAGCATACTTAATTGTGTTTGTCTTCTTGGAAAAATATGGACTGTGAATTCTGATGAAGCTACTGTGTAGTCTTATAGGGAAAACTCACTAGCAGCTAAACGTTTCTGAAAGCTACAACATAGTCAATGAAAATTTCCTCACCAGGACAGAATTGCTGTTCTCTTTCTTTCCTAAAATTCTCCCATCAGAGTTAAATATTATTATGATTGCATGTAATTCGTGGAATCAATTTGTTGGCAGATTAAGCATGATTTATGCACTTGACTGTGATTTGTTTCTTACTAGTAACAAAATCTAGCAAGTATTCTTTGTGTATGATTCCTTTGAGGTATATATGGTAAGAGTCAATCAAAGATTTTGTGTGAGAATCAAAAATAAAATATTTGATTTTCAATCATACATCATACAATTTTCTCGTATCCTGCCGACTTAATGAGTTCTAATTGACCTAAAATATTAATCATATAATTTATCCTAATTTATCTTAACATTGATTATCATATGTCCATAGGTTTTTGTCATATATGATCTTGACATTTGTGTCCTACCTTCACCTCGACGTCTTCTTGGAATACCTACCACATTTGTCAAGGCTCCTCTACCATTCAATGTATGAACAACTTGGGCATCTCCCTTTCGGAAGTAGCTTCCATGTGATGCTGGATCAATGGTGCCTTCTTCGTCTTGGCTCTCCACATCTCAAAGATTGTTCTCTCTCACCCCTGATTTGGCGTTGCTCCAACGCCGTGGTCTTATCCATAGTGTACTTTCATGAGACTACAGAAATAACACCGTAGTCTGATCGATAGTGGAGGATCGAGGAGGGTGCCACAGAAGTCTGTGACATGAAAGGAGGTGGTGTGTTGGTTTGCACTGGCCAGACTTCAACATGCTTTGACACTTCCAGCCAAGGCGGTGGTCGGTCCAAGTCCTCCTTAGCATGCTAACCAATGGAAAAGGAAAGGGAACCACCGAATCCAAAGAGGGTTTCGAAGTCTCGCCAGAGAGAGATGATCGAGGAGTAGTTTCTTTCCTGCTAACCCATGGAAAAGGAAAGGGAACCACCGAGTCCAAAGAGGGCTTCGAAGTCTCGTCAGAGAAAGAGGAGAGAGGTGTGGTTCCTTTCCGAGGTCACTCCCACTTCAAACACCAAAGAAACTTTGTGGGACCAGCAGAGTGCCACGTCTCCTTGTATTGTTCCTGTTTGTTTATTAGTGTTCTAGAAACCATATCCTACTGATCTGTACTCATGCATGAGTGCAATGAAGTAGTACGAAGGCAGAAGCAACTCCTCTTGTCACTGAACTGTGTGCTACAGTCTCTCTGTGCTCCTATGAATGATTAAGAGGCCTCAGTAGTCTATCCTAATTGTTTCGCATCTACCACATATCCTACTAATGATTATTTCTCTTATGTGACATGGAATTCTCACCCTCTTTTATCATCTTTTTCTTCAGACCATCAATCATCAGTCATTTGTTCATCGAATGTTAGGAAATATTGTGAGATTTGGAAGGTGAACCTAACTTGGTAATTGACCATTGGAAGCTTATTTATATGTGATTCATATACTGATAAAGTTCATTTGTAGTTCTGATTGAGTCTCCAGATGATATTTGACCCATCAAATATATTATTTTCATTTATGCTACGATTTATTGTATATTTTAGCTAATTGTACTAGAAAGTTTAAATCCATGGATTGCTACTATGATTTTAAAGCTTCCACGCTTTTCACAAAGACAAAATAATAATAAAAATCATGGCCCAATCAACAGAAGTTGTGGTACCCCATCAAATAATATACATTAGGGAAAAGAAAATATTACTTGAGGAATATTATAACCACTCCTTACAAGTTGGTGATGGCACGATGCATGTAAGAGAAAGATAAGAACACAAGAAAGGTACTACTGACCAAAATTTCTCATAAGGATGATTATGTATTTGTGTATAATGTTATCCACAAGGTCAAGTATCTCCAAATATGCCTCCCACCTAATGATGCTACTCCATTTTTGGACACTATGTAATTTATCTCCACTTGCCCATCTAGTTGTCCTGCTTTGCTTGTCCATGCAAGTCATCAACAGATGAGGCCAGTGAATATAAATATAAATATTATATTATATTATATATATATTTAGAGAGAGAGAGAGAGAGAGAGAGAGAGGTGGTCCAAATGACTCACAAGAAGTCAATGGCTAAGCCAAAGCCTCTCACTTTCATTGATAAGGTGACCTTTAGATTCTTTTGTTCTTTAGTGTCAGCTCCGGCATCGCTTTCATTTACTAGAACCTCTCTCTCGCGCTCTTCTTTTCGTCATCTTGTTTGCTTGTGTTTACTTTAGCCTTTCATGAGTCTCTTGTTCCTCTATTTTTCTCCTTTTCTTTTGCTTGCGTTTCTATAGCCATTCACGAGTCTCTCTCTCTCTCTCTCTCTCTCTCTCTCTCTCTCTCTCTCTCTCTCTCTCTCTCTTCTTCTGATCTTTTGATATGCTTGCTAACCTTTTAACCTGATTGCTTGACTCAACTGCGTTGCACGTGACACTCCAAGAGGACCATCGATCACACACCATAGTTTGGTCTTCTCTCCGTTGTTAGAAAAGCCACGAGTTCTTTTGAAATATGGTAGGTTGACGTCTTTATCTCCATATCCGTCGACCATAACATGTCTATTCTACATAGATCATGTAAAGGCTCTGTCAATAGCCTATTGGAAGGGGCGTCGAAGAATGAAGAAAAACTTTTGCTCACAAGCTTCCACGCCTCACTTCTGTCGACATGGATAGCTAATCATGTCTTATGCTATTTTTATTTAGTTCATCTTCCTTGGAATGATCCAACGAGTGTCTACGATACTAATTGTATTGTAACAAGACAAAGTTTTGGCTCGTTCTAATTGATTCATGTCAACTTATTCAAACAACAAAGCTCATTGACTGCCACCACATGGACGTTGTAGTCTCCTCCTTTTTTCCCCAATCCATGAGCGAAGTTTCCACGTTTTGGTTCACCAGTAATGGCATCTGTAGCAATAAAAACATGCTGATTTGTAGAAGATAGAGCAGTGCAAGTCCATGCATGCATTAATGTCGCAACTTGTCTTCCAACAGGAACTGAGACTTCTTAATTTGGTGTGATCGGTATCATGAGAGTCGCAAC